CAACCGTCGCAGAAGGATACCATGGTCGATGGTATCGAAGGCCGCTGAGAGGTCAAGGAGCACTAGGATGGAGGAATGACCAAAGCGGTTTCCGTGTTGTAGCCAGGCCTGAAACCAGACTGAAAGGAGGCTAGATAATCGGCTTCATCCAAGGACCGCCGGAGTTGCAAGGCCACCACTTTCTCAACAACCTTCCCAATGAAGGGGAGGTTGGAGACTGGACGGTAGTTGTTCAAATTGGCTGGGTCCAGTGATGGCTTCTTCAGGAGGAGTCTCACCACCGCTACCTTCAATGCCGGTGGGAAGAAACCCTCCCGAAGAGAGGCATTCACCACTGCCTGGATCCAGCCCCGCGTCACCACTCTGCTGTTCGCGACCAGCCAGGAGGGTATGTATGTGATTGGTGAAAACTGCTTTCACCGTTGTATCTCCTCCTTCTGGTTCTCCTTTTCCTCATATGCTTTCTCCTTCTCCTTGCAACACCTTCTCTTCCTCCTTGTATAACTTCTTCTCTTTCTCCCCCTAATAAACCTTCTCCTTTTCCTAGTATACCTTCTCCTTCTTTTTCTTCTCCCCTTTCTCCTTCTCCTTGTCCTCTTAAACATTCTCCATTTCCTTCTTCTTCTCCTTGCACACATTCTCTTTCTCCTACATACGTTCTCCTTCTTCTCCTCTTCCTAATAAACCTTCTTCTTGTTGTTATATACCTTCTCCTTGTGTACTTCTCCTACTTGTCCCCTTTTGTCTTCTTCTCATAAACCTTGTCCTTTTTCTTCTTCTTCTTCTTCTCTTTGTGCTCATAAACCTTCTCTATTTCCTTCTCCTTGAACACTCCTCTTTCTTTTTCTCTTTCTCCTTGTGTACCTGTTCCTTGTTCATCATCTCTTTCTTTCTCCTTCCCCTTCTCCTTGTATAGCTTCTCCTCCTGTTCCTCCTTCCCCTTCTCTGTACAGAACAGAATGCTCTTGACTTCTGGAATCTCTCTCTCTCTCTCATTCTGTCATTCCCTCTCTCTCATGTTGTCATTCTCTCTCATTCCTTCATTCCCTCTCTCTCATTTTGTCATTCCCTCTCTCATTCTGTCATTCCCTCTCTCTCATTTTGTCATTCTCTCTCATTCTGTCATTCCCTCTCTCTCTCATTTTGTCATTCTCTCTCTCTCTCATTCTGTCATTCCCTCTCTCATTTTGTCATTCTCTCTCTCTCATTCTGTCATTCTCTCTCTCTCTCTCATTCTGTCATTCCCTCTCTTTTTGTCATTCTCTCTCACACATTGTCATTCTCTCTCTCTCTTCTCTCTCTCTCTCCTCCCCCCCCCTCTCTCTTATTTTTTCCCCTTAGCTAAATCTACTTTGTAGGTTCTTGTGGGGGGAAATGGACACCTTATCGCATATCTCACTTTGAGCTGCTGAAAGAATGGCAGGATATAAATTTAATAAATAAACAAGTTTAAACATTGAAGTATTATAATTTTTAGGAAAACATCATTTCGATTTAAAGTCCATTTGTTCAACGCAACTTCTATCACTTCTATCTGTTTTCTTTTTTTTCAAGGGCTGTATAGGATGAGATAAGTGCACACAGGCAAGAAGAGAGTTGGGTGTTTATTTTTCTAAACAAGATTGTTGCCAGGGGAATCTGTAGCCAGTAGCAGCAATGCCAAAATGATGACATGCCTGTGGTGATGTCAGCTCTCAAGTGCCATGATGACACAAATCAGAGTGTTTGGGTGAGGATGACATTTTTCTTAACATGTTATTGGTGAAAACTGCTTTAACAAAGATAATTAGAGGGCTAGAGACTAAAATATATGAAGAAAGGTTGCAGAAACTGGGTATGTCTAGTTTAATGAAAAGAAGGGCTAGAGGATGACATGATAGCAATATTCCAATATCTCAGGTAAAGGTAAAGGTTCCCTTCACATATATGCGCTAGTCCTTTCCAACTCTAGGGGGCAGTGCTCATTTCAGTTTCTAAGCCGAAAAACCTGTGCTGTCTGAAGAAGTCTCCATGGTCATGTGGCTGGCATGACTAAACTCCGAAGGTGCATGGAACTCTGTTACCTTCCCACCAAAGGTGGCTCCTATTTTTCTACTTGCATTTTTACATGCTTTCGAACTGCTAGGTTTGCAGAAGCTTCGACAAGTAACGGGAGCTCACTCCATTATGCAGCGCTAGGGATTCAAACCCCCGAACTGCTGACCTTTCTGATCAACAAGCTCAGCATCTTAGCCACTGAATCACCGCATCCACCCAATATCCCAGGGGCTGCCACAAAGAAGAGAAGGTCAACCTATTCTCCAAAGCACCTGAAGGTAGAACAAGAAGCAATGGATGGGAACAACAAAAGAGAGAAGCAAAATAGAACTAAGAATGAATTTCCTGACAGAACAATTAATCAGTGGAACCAGAGATGGCATTCAGCCAGTTCTGAGAGGTTTTGGAGAACTGGTAGAGGAAATTTTGAGAGCGGGGAGGAAATGAGAATTTTACAGTATCCTTCTCCTGCCATGCCCACGAAGCCACGCCACAGAACTGGTAGCAAAAAAAAAAATTGAATCCCACCACTGAGTGGAACGACTTGCCTCCAGAATTCATGACTGCTCCAACACTGAATATTTTTAAGAAGATGTTGGATATCCATTTGTCTGAAGTGGTCTAGGGTTTCCTGCCTGAACAGAGGATTGGACTAGAAGACCTCCAAGGTCCCTTCCAACTCTATTATTTTACTACTCTGCTATTCTGCTGACCTTGGTATATCTCCTCCCATCTTGTCAGATCAGCACATCTGTGCCTCCAATGTTGATTTTCACAGCAAGGTTAGAGAACCAGGGATGCAATTTCCAATCCTGACTCCTCTCCTCAGAATTCTAGTCCTCTTGATCTGCTTGGACCTTGGTTCATTTTTAGGCGAAACACAAAATCCAGCATTTCCTTTTCCTTCCTTCCTTCCTTCCTTCCTTCCTTCCTTCCTTCTTTCCACTCAATAAAATTGACATGGAGACCAGCTAGTGGGTCATTATTGGCTGCAATTCCACTGAGAGTCCATTGGCAAGGACTGGGTCAGCCCAGAGAAGGTAGTACGAGAGTCAGCAGCTAGAAATCGTTAAAGAAGAAGCAACTAATGAGACCAAAAGGAGACAGCAACTTCTGAAAAATTTAGAGCCTGTAATGAGCTGGATGGCTAAAGTCATTTCGTGCTTGTCATCCATTCTTCACAGCACAATTTGCTTAAATTGTCCCCCAATTTAATTCCCAGTACAAACAACAACAGCTTTCCAATGTGCCAAGGCACATTGCCAACTTTTTTTTTTTACTGCGGTTGGATGGTGCACTGAATTTTGCACTTTCTCAGCTTTCAAAGGAGATGTTGGATTTGCGCCCAGCTCCCAGGGTTGGCTTTGTTAAAAGGGCTGGAGGAAATTGAAGACTTTGCCTCCAGTTCGGATCCTGAAGTTCAATCGAGATCCAGAATTTCTGTTCTTCAACTTTAAAGGTAGAAATAAAAGTTCTCCTCGCACATATATGTTAGTTGTTCCTGACTCTAGGGGGTGATGCTCATCTCCGTTTCAAAGCCAAAGAGCCAGTGCTGTCTGAAGACATCTCCGTGGTCATATGGCTGGCATGACTCAATGCTGAAGGCGCACAGAGCACTGTTACCTTCCCACCAAAGATGGTCCCTATTTTTCCACTTGCATTTTTATATGCTTTGGAACTACTAGATTGGCAGAAACTGGGACAAGTAATGGGTGCTTACTCCGTTATGTGGCACTACGGATTTGAACCACCAAACCGCCGACCTTCTGATCGACAAAATCAGCGTCTTAGCCACTGAGCCACCGCATCACCTTCTTCAACATTAAGAGTCACTATAAATGGGCCCACATCCGGAGATATGTTTTCACTGCCCACGTTCAGTAGCCAGGAGGCCTACGAGGAAAGGGAAGATAAAGCTGCAGAGAAATTAGACAGGTTAAGAAGAATGAGTCAGTTTGGTGCAACAGATAAGGTGTCAGGCTGGAAACTGGGGGATCCTGAGTTCTAGTCCTTTGTGCTTTAAGCACAAAGACAGCTGGGTGACCTTGAGCCAGTCACTCACTCTCCACCCTAGAAAAGAGTCAAGGGCAAACCATATCTGAAAAACACTGCCAAGGAAGCTGCAGGGAGTTGTACAGACAGATGGTCACCGAGAAAATATTGGTGGTCCTCAGAAAAATTATTTGCATTTTTTGTATTGCACTAAATCAGAAGTCCTCTAACTACGACCCCTGGGAAGCATTCGTGCAATGAATATTTGTGTTGCTGCAGAGAGTCTCCTTCTTCGGGGTCTTTTTATGTGGGTCGGAGGGCAGCCTCCCTTCAGCCTCCTGGTGTGGGACTTTGGGCAAAGGCTTGAGAGAAGTGCCACTGGTGGTGAAGACCCGGAGGGCCTTGTTCCAGTGGGACTGCATCATGGCCTGGTACTGGTTGACCATCTCAGCCCACTGAGCCTCCAGGCATCAGGACCTGGCCTTGCACTCCCACAGGTCTTCCCTCTGCTTGGAAAGCCTATGCTCATAGTCCTCAGTGAGGTGCTTCTGCTGAGCCTCCTTCTTAGTCAGATCCAATTTGAACCGAGCTGTTTTGCCAACTGGTGGCTACTTAGCTCCAGTAACTGTTTCCTGTTGGGGCTCTAAGGAGTCCGGGAGGGAGGTGAAGAGGGGCTAGGAGAGTAGGGAGGAGTAGAGGCCGGCGAAGCACCCCTCGATGTGAGTGATATCAAGTTGGCCATGCCCACCACCTAGTCACACACACCCAGCCGGTCATTAGACAGATCATATTAGTGGTCCGTGGGATTTAAAATTATGAATTTAGTGGTCCCTGATGTCCAGAAGGTTGGTGACCCTGGTCCAGCCAGTGGCCAAGAGTCCAAAAACTGAAGGCACACACACACAGAGAGAGAGAGAGAGAGAGAGAGAGAGAGAGAGAGAGAGAGAGAGAATGAATGAATGTTAGACTTGTATTAAGGAAATCTGGCATTAAAATCTCTGGCATGAAGGTCACTTGGTCTGCAATTTCAATCTCTCTTATAGTCATGTTTCCTGACCTTTGTTGAGAAAAAGCAGCTAAACGTACGTGCAAATTAAATTTAGAAACGGAAGACATTTCCTTGCCTTCTTGTTTTGTTTTTCAACCCTGAGGACAAGAAACTTGAAACCCTCTTTCAAAACATCCATAGAATCAGCCTATCAATCTTACTAGCGCTCCTGTCCACTTTTACACTGATAGCTGCCTCCAGACTGAGCCTGAAGGAAGAAAATGTTCTTTTCTGCATAACAAGGAACCAAATTTGGCTGACTCAACCTGTTTTTTTTTTTTGCATCTGGTCAACCTGATTTGCATCTGGACTTGGGACTTCATGTGGTGTTGTGATAAAGGGATGAACCCTCCTAGCTATTCCTCCCCCCTCCCCACCGTCTGCTAGCCAAATTTCCTACTCCGCCCTCTCTCCTTGCAAAAAAACTGCCAGAGAAAAAGGAGGAAGCGGTGCGTTTCCTGCCCCTCCCTTTCCCAGTTCAAGCATGATAGAAAACAGCAGCCCCGCCCCCTCCACACTGGCTACCTTAGGTCGATCCTTCTGGGTTGTTAAAACTGAAAGTGACCAATCAAAAGAGGAAGAGGATGCTCATGTTTGTCCTGTGCTCCAAATTTCCTTTATCTGTTCCTAACCTCTGTAGGAAGTTGGTGTCCACCGCTCTCCAAGAAGAATGAAATATTCTAGGAAATATTAAAAAGGCAGAACGTTATGTTTCCCTGGATGAGAAAAGGGGAGACATGTTTTTTTAAACAAAGTTTTTATTTTAAAATTTTGTAACATATATTTTTTTTATAAACAGAATGTTGCATGGGTTTTCCCCCTTAATATCTTCTCATATACATATTTCATTTTACAACATATTTCCATTTTCAATTTCAGACAATAATTTCTTTCCATTTTTTCCATCTTAATTTTTTTCTTAATAAACAATATCATTATTTGCCCCTCCAAACTTATCAAATTTTAATATTTCATTTCCATCTTTCGTTGTATTTTACTACAGATAACACATATCCTTAGATTTAATGTTCTACAATAAACATTTTACTTAGTTAATTATCCACAATTAATAATATTAATCTATTTCCCTCATATCATGTTAACTATATGTCATTAACAATATTAACATATTTCATTTTATTCTACTGGTAAATCCTTTCTCTTCTTTCCTCCTTCCCTAACTATTATTTCTTGGTCTTTCTGAAACTTCACTTCTTTTATATTCTCTTCTTTCCACCCATTTACCTAGCTTTTTGGAGAAACATGTTTTAAAGACAAAGTAGCTCTCTGCTCCACCCAGCTCCAGGGTGATGGGATTAAGACATGGCCCTCAGGCAGAAATGTTATCCTATTTTCTTCACTATCAGTAGCGGGACCACACGAAATAAGGAGAAATTTTCTGACCATCAGAGCAATCAACCAATGGAACAGCTTCCTTTCAGAAGTTGTTGGAGCTTCATCACTGGAGACTTTCAAGAAGAAATTGGACTGCCATCTGTCAGAAATGGTGTAGAGTCTCCTGATAGGACGGGGGTTGGGCTAGATGACCTACAAAGTCCCTTCCAACTTTGTTAATCTGTATCTTTTCATTTCATCAAGAAATTCAGGAGTCTGAACAGACAAACTTTCTTGGCAGCTTGACAAAAAAGCATTTTATTTTGCATCCTCTATCAATAAAAAGCATCCTTTGTTCTATCCAGGGAGATGCCTCATTAATATGGAGAGCCCATTGCTCTGCCAGATCTGATTTTGTTATTTAATTAATTATGCCCTTTAGGTCATCCATCCCTAACCTGGTACCCTTCAGATGTGCGATTGTGGAGGTTGTAATCTGAATGTATCTAAGGGACATTACGTGGACAGGAGGGAAGCTGTTTCAGATGCTGGACACCCAGTTCATGCTGGGATTTGTTGATGTTTGGTCACTAAGACATGTCCGACTCTTTCCAACCTCATGAACCATAGTATGCCAGGCGCCCCTATCAAGTGGTGGGATTCAGCTGGTTTGGGCCAGTTTGGGCGAACCAGTTGTTAAATTGCTGTCTGACCCCACCTCGTCCCTTCCTCCCTCACCCCTTCCAGGAGTCCCCCCCCATTCCCTGTTTTTGCTCCCGGGAGGCTTCAGGGAGGCCTACTAGGCCCAAAATGAGTCATGAGGGAGTGCAGAGCCCCCCACAGACTGTTTTGGCTCCCAGGAAGGTGCAGGAGGCCAAGTGCTGCCTGTCATGCCCCCTGGCCATGCCCACCATGGCCACACCCACCCAGCTGGTCATTAGGGCAGTGAACCAGTTGTTAAATTATTTCAAGCCCTTGGAGACCTTGGAAACCTCTGTCTTTGCTTCCAGACATTTCCAGACTACAATTCCCAATGTCTTGCACTAATAGGTTGCTGGAAGTTATAGTTCATCATTAACTGGAGAGCGACAGATTTTCCCACTTTAGTATAAATCAGGGTATTCAAACTTTTTTATAGCTGGGGCATAGTTGTTAGTTGCAAAGTTATGTCCGACCCATTGTGACCCCCCATGGGCAACGTTCCTCCAGCCTTCCTGTCCTCTACCATTCTCTGGCGTCCATTTAAGCTCAGGCCTGCTGCTTCGGTGACTCCATCCAGCCACCTCATTCTCTGTCGTCACCTTCTTCTTTTGCCCTCAATCATTCCCAACATTAGGTTTTTCTCCAGTGTGTCCTTCCTTCTCATTCAGTGGCCAAAGTGTTTGAGTTTCCTCTTCAGGATCTGGCCTTCCAAAGAGCAGTCAGGATTGATCTCCTCTAGGACTGACCGGTTTGATCGCTTTGCAGTCCAAGGGACTCGCAGGAGTTTTCTCCAGCACCAGAGTTCAAAGGCCTCAATTCTTTGGCACTCAGCCTTTCTTATGGTCCAACTTTCATAGCCATACATTGCAACTGGGAAAACCATAGCCTTGACTATACACACTTTTGTATAGCTGGGGCATTATTGTTTAATATATATATAAAATCTTCAATGGAATGGAGTGAGGAAGTAGATTCTCATGAGGAAGTGGGTACATTCTGGAGAAGGAAGAGGCAACTCATCCTGTATTAGAGAAGGACAGTGAAAAAAACCCTCCCCTAATAGAGTATATTGTAAATGCAGATAGTCTGGTAAGATTTTGTCTATAGTGGTGAAAAAATAAAGAATTCAGTGTCAGGCACCAGGGAAATCAGAGATCCAGGCAGTTCAAATGGGCATAAAGATTTATGGCAATCTTAAGCTCCCTACAAGAATCTGAACTACTAATGGGCCAAAGCAAATTGGTGATAGATAAGAATCAAAAGGAATTCAAGGTGGACTGTACTTCATTAGCTTATAGGTGTGAAGCAGTGGTGGGATTCAAATAATTTAACAACCGGTTCTCTGCCTAATGACCATCTGGGTAGATGGGGCTTGGTGGTCATGTGACTGGGTGGGCTTGGCCAACTCTAGGTCACTCAGGTCGATGGGCGCCTTGCAAAACAGCCTTAGCTGTTACAATATAATAAGGGTTAACCAGAGAGGCAGTTTCTGTAAGCAGGTCAATAAAGATTAGGATGGAAACAACACCAGAATGTCTCCTTCCTGCCTTTCTTACAGAATTAGCCCTGTAAAATGGAAAAAAACAAAAGGAGATTTCTTCCAACAATCGGTTCTTTGAACTACTTAGAAAGTTACCAACCGGTTCTCCCGAATAGGTGCAAACTGGCTGAATCCCACTACT